GACAGCACCCTCACTACCGCCGGCCCACCCCTTCTCCGGGAACCGCCGCAGCCAGGGCCCCGCTCTCACGCCAGCCGCCTCTCAAGCCCCAGTCCCACGGCCACCGCACAGCCACTCAAGTCTGTCCAAAGCTTGAAAAAACAAGGTGATCCAATCAGACTCCTCCCTGGAAATCTGAAGGAAGCACCAAGGAAAAGGCCACCAATGGGAACGAAAGGGTGAAACTAAATGGATGCAGAAGGTGGAATGAGGTTGTTTCCAAATTGTGAAGAAGCAGAAAGTCTGGGGAAAGCAACAGCAGTTAGGCAGAGTTATGAGGAAGGAGGCACACAGCAAGGCGGCCAGGAGAAAGCAGGTCCCCAGGGAAGCGGCCCGCAGCCCAGCCCCAGGGCCCGGGCGGGCACAGGGCGGACGCAGGCGCCCTTTCCCACGCCCCGGGCCGGCGCCTGGCTCACAGCCTTGTCCGCTCTACTGCTGCCAACATCACAGGGGCTTCACGCCGAGCAGACGGCCACGGATCCTCACCTCCGACGCCGGCCGTGGGCATCTCCGGGAGCATCCCCTCCCCAGGGCACGGCCCAGCTAGAGCAAAGCCGCTGGGGCGGCACTGACGGGTGCACCCGTGCACTGCCCGATGCTCCCCTCTTTGGTCATCTCCTGAAGTGGCTGCCCTGACACCCCCACGCTCCTCAAAGCTTCTCCAGTGGCCCTTTCTTAGCAGACCCCCTTGAGAAACTGAGGCTATTAGAAGCCTTTACCACCCTGCCCTCTGTTATCTATAGCTGTGACAATATTCTAAAACTAAAGACAGTGTCACTTAGACTTGTCCCTTCCTTCCATTCCCCTATCCCTCATCTTCTCTGGGTGTTGATATATGAAGCTTATAGGGGATCTCTCCGCTATTTTCCAAACAGCTCACCATCAACTATTCTTATCTGAATTAGCTTCTGGTTTCCAGTTAATACATTTGACCCTGGGAGATACCCGCCTGCGGCCCGCCTCACCCCCCCACCCCTCATCGCCCGGCTACGACCATGGCAACATGGGCATTTGTGCTCAACATGAAATTTAAAGCACATCTGTAATAGTTTTCTCTAGTCTTTTGGGCTTTCAGCAATACTTTCCTTTTTTATTACATATTCTATTCTATATTTTGCAGGCATATGAACTGAGAGAGGAGGGAAACAGAGTTGACAAGATACAGTCACTAAGAAGTCCACCAGCACATTTTTTAAAATGGGAGGATCCACATTTCCTCCCTCTGCATGCACCTCGCCTTCCCCTCAAGCGCTAAGCAGACAAGCACCCTCCCCCCTGTGCGACAGAGCTCGGTGCTCGGCTGCCTCCCGCCACCCTGCGGAGGGTGCCCCGCCAGCTCTCGGGGCGGCTAGGAACTTCAGGTAGCATACAGAAGGAAATTAGGACAGGTGTTGAAAGGATGCTCATTGTAAAAATCTAGTTTGGAAATAAGGAAGTTTTAGAGATTTAAACCATTCTGATCTAATTTTTTTCACCAGCTTCTAAACTCTATGATCCAAACTTTCGAATTTTGGACTTTTTTGTAACTTATTGCCAGAGTGAAGGATGCACTAGAAGGGAAATAAATTTTTACTTTTTGAAAGGAAAAACCATTTAGAGGGGATTAAAAGGACCGGTGTATGCATTCTCAAAAAAAAAAAAAGAAATTTGTTCATAATAATATACTGAGTTTTTTACAAAGTCTTTGTAACAATATGCTAATATTAAAGGTAGTATCACAGATCTTTCAATTAAATACAAAGTTAAATATTACAAAATTAAGTCTTTTACTTGATTTACTTTTTGATTAGGCAGTTACCAATAATATATCACAATAAGAAATTTCAATTTCTTTTAAAAAAGTTTAATATCTTATAAAGAACTGCAAAATATACACCTACAGCTGTGTGGGCATGTGTGTGCCTGCCCATTGTCCTCAACGACACGCTTCCTTTCCCTGGGGAATGGCTCTTTGGGTCCTGGTGGAACAGCCCTGGGTCTCCCGTGAGCGCTCTGGGAAACCTCCCGGCTTTTCGCTTCCGCAGGGCGGAGCTCCAAGCAGGAGCCAGCGGGGCAGCCGCGCTCTCCGTGAGGTTCAGTCCAGGCCGAGCAGAGCTCCGCCCTGGGCTGTGCCTGTCGCCTTCATTCTACTGAGCACTCAGATTTTCAGGTACGGGCTTGGCAGATACATAATTTTAGGTGTGGGCATGAGGGGAGACATGTGTAATTGCCATGAACTATTTCTTACATACCTGCAATCCACTAAAACACGGAACAAAATAAACTCCTTCAGAATCTTCCAAACTTTTGGCCATTTTTTCTGTCTCGGCAGCATCTGTGAAGAGCTCTGCAAACACAGAAACAAACAAGCAGCAAAAACAGTCTAAAACAAAACGAAGGGGTCGGGGTACAAAGAATTATGTTATATGACTAGTATTTAGCTGTGTCCACATTTATCATGAATTTAATATGAAAGGTTACTCACTTAAAAGGATCAACACAAAGGCCAATCTATCTGGGTTCTTAAATTTGACTGGGTTTGGGAGCCCACTGGAGGCGCGAGGGAGCCCGAGGGCCCTCTGACGCAGCTGGCTACGCAGCGGGCCATGCTTTCTCTGTTAAATATACTTGGGCTGTTTTAAAGAAATCAATGTCGTGTGTGGCATTAAAAAATGTATTCTCCCGAAGGTAACACACATCCCATTTTTCTGATGAAGAGATCATCTACCTATAGCAACCAAGAGAAGCAACTAAAAAACTACATCTAATGGGTTCAATAAGGGGCAGTAACAACAGATTTAATATATTAAAAGTCAATCTTTAAAAAACAGACAAAAAAATCAAGATCTAATTCATTCACTATGCTTTTTACTGATACATTTTGCACACAGGAAAATGTACGCGTCCTAAGTGTAGGGGGATGAACTTTCAGTGTGAGCACACCCAGCTAACCGACACCCAGATCAAGGCACACGCTTCTTCGTTCAACATCACAAGTGTGATGCTTGCGAGGTGCAGCCACTTTGTTACAAGTAGTTGTACTTCATTCACTCTCACCCTGTAAGGCAGGGTGGGGAACCTTTTTTCTGCCAAGGGACGTTTGGATATTTATAACATCATTCTCCGGCCATACAAAATTACCAACTTAAAAATTAGCTATGAAAGCAGCTCCTAGATTTACTGAATTTCGAGTCCCTCCTGCGGCTGCCTTGATCTCGCAGGTCGTACACTGCCCGGGGCCGGCGTCCCCACCCCGCCATAAGGTATTCTTGATGTGACCATACGCAAATCACTGAACTCCCTACAGCTGACGCGCACACGGGCGGTTTCCGTTTTAGGCCACTGTGAACCCGTGCACCTTCTTTTTGGCGAACATGTGCATATATCTGCTTGCTCTGTGCCGGGGGTGAGGCTGCCGGCCCCGGGGCCGTCACAGTTGGGACGAGCTGACAGCAGTCGTCTTCCAGCGGCCCTTCCAGCGGAGGGCTCCTTCAGCGCCGCGAGTTCCAGCTTCCTTCGCGCCAGCAACTGACGCTGCGCGTGATTTTCAGTTTGGCCACTTTGGTGGTGCTGTGTGAGGGTTTGATTTTGTGTTTCTTTGCTTACTAACGAAGCTACAATCCTTTCACTTGCCGTGCGCGGACCCTTCTCGTGAGGTGGCCCTGAGTGAGCACAGATCCCATGACAAAGCTCAGAAATCAGCCACAATAAATCCTGCTGCCTGTATACAGCCGTAATTAAGTTGACTTCTTTTAGCATCTTTTTTCTTGTAATAAAGAATTTGACAGCTGTCAGCCTGCTCTCTCTGACTCTGTCTCTATTTTGCTTGGTCGTTCATTTTGTTCCTTAGATTCTACATATGAGTAAAATCATATAAATCTTAAATTCTGATACCTATGAATGTGACCTTATTTGGAAATAAGTTCTTTCCAGAGAGGCTGAAAGAAGCAGGAAGCTAGTGACACCTTGATATTTGATATTTGACTTCTGGCTTCCAGAACTGTGAGAGAATACATTTCTATTGTTTTAAACCACTAAAAAAAAAAAAAACCAAACAAAAAAAAAACCACAAAGAAGAATTGATTAAAGACAAGAAGTTCAAGAAACACCTATATTAAAATTCAAGTTAATGAGGATCATTCAATAATAATTATAAATTTTACTCGAAATGACAGTTATCAGAACCGTAAGTCACATTCACTTGGTCAGAATGTCCAGATGTCCAGATAACACATTAAAATGTCTGTAGCACTTCAAAAACTGATATTAAAAAGAACACATTGATTTTGAAATCTATACTTACTAAATAATCATGTCCAAATGTCTAAATTTTAAAATTGGGGTGTGGGAAACATACTGGACAGCTGTTTTAAAGAATATTTTGATAACAGATGAAGCAGCGGGGAAACCCAAGTTCAGCACATTCTTCACTGGTTCCATTCCTGCCTGAAGAATTTCTCTAACTAACCTCCCACTTGAACTGTCCTCAAAGGAGCATGTGGATGAACAGTCTTTTGGATGCACAGACCTCAGTCTGTCTCCTACTGGATGAGCTAAGACTCCCGAGGCTCAGGAATAAGCTGACAGCACAACTCAAAGTGCCACCAAACTGGCGGGAGGTTTCCTGCGCTTTTATTTCCTCTGACATCTTCTGGCCTGGACCCGGGGACAGCCTGAAACCAGGAACGGGGGCCTGTCCACTGGGTGCCCATATGAAGGGCTTCTAAGTAAGCCTCGGCTTTCCCACCTGAGGAGCAGGGTCAGGGGCCTCCACAGTCGGGGGAAATTACCCTCCTCGGTGTGTGTGCTTCATTCTGCCTGGACAGGAGAGGACGGACAGACAGACAGGGAGGGAGCAGGAGGAAACAGGGTCTCAGGGCTGGGGGACAGTAAGAAAATGCCTAACACTTCTGTCATTTACATCCTGGAAGAAGACAAAGAATGAGCCACAGAAAGCCTACTTGAGAAAAGCCTCTGTCAACTTCCCGCAGAATAGAAGGAACAGAGCCCGAGGCATCTGGAGGCCTCACCTGAGCCTGGGCGACCCGACCCCAACCCGGGCCAGCTGGCGCCAGAATCGCGCTGTGGGGACGCGGCACGTGTAGAGCCGCAGGCGAGATTCGAGGCTGCCAGAGGTAGAGGGGCAGGGACTGGCTCAAAGCAGTGCCAGTGATGGAGCTGAAGGAAGTGTTCAGCACAAGTCACAATCCCGCCGGTGGCAATGGTTGTTCAGTCTACATACGTCTTAAAAGCTGGAGAACCGTACACGAAAAACCACGCCAAACACAAGCACTATGACCATGCCGACAGCCCAGTCACAGCCGCAAACACGGAGGAAGGCGGTGGCTTTACCGACGTGCATTCTGTCAATACTCCCTGAAGGCTTCAAAACCTGAATTTAATTACATGCAAATTAAATCTTAATAAAGTTGATTTAAAATAATTTTTTTCTCAAAATGATGGAAAGAAATTCAACTTCACTCACTTAAACACTAAGATGTCATTTCTCAGCCATCTAGGTTGGCAAAAATTCAAAAGCTTGACAATGCATAAGACTTCTACTTCCGCTCCCAACGCCTGCAGTTCGTCCAACTAGAATCATTGATTATGCAAAAGACGCTGAAAAAGGAGGCTATGGGAAAACAGTCTCATACATTTCCGGGGGTAATGAAAATGAAACAATTCCTATGAAATATCTAACAAAACGACAGCGCATTAGTCCTCTGATACAGCAATCCCACTTCTGGGAATTTATTCTTAAGACACACCTCCAATGACATAAAAACATGTGTGGGCAAGGTTACTCACTGTAGCATTATTCTTATTTTCAAAATATCAGAAACTATTCAAATGTCCAAATACAGGCTGTTTGCTGGCTAAGCAATGTACATATTACACAGTGGAGTACTATGCAGCTGTGAAAAATGAAGATCCCTATGACTGACATGAAGTAATTCCCAGAATATATTTTTAACTGAAATGGCAAAATACAAAGAGCACATGTAGATTTCCTTTTATGTAAGAAAGAGGGAGGGGGTAAGAAAACATGCACGCATCTTCATGTTTTTGTAAAAAGAAATAGAAAGGATAAACCAAAAACAAATGAAGTGATTATCTACATGAGGTAGGGAGACAGGATGAAGTGAGCCAACTGCTTGGAGCACACCTTACGGTTTTGACTTAGGGAATCATGTTAAAATTCCACATTGAAAAAATTAAGAGAGCAATGACTGCGTGAGAGATCCCCTTGGCCTCTCCCCCTGAAATTTCAACAAGCTAGCCAACTATAATTCAACAGAGCATGCCCTACCCAACAGAGAGGCACAGCTGAGATCCGCACACCGAAACACCTACAGGTGGGCAGCCGGGAATAAGTGGGGAGGGAGCGGGAGGGGAGCCCAGGCAGCCCCAGGCAAGCCCTGCAGCCGAGGGGCAGAGGGCTGCGGGGCACAGCCCAGCGGGCGAGCCAGCAGCCGCCTGACGGAGCGCAGGGTTCTGCCGCCCGCCGCCCGCTGTTGGGTGTTTCTGACAAAGAAATGGAACCACAGAGCTCTGCCACCCCCTGGGCTCCCAAAACTCGCCTCACAGTGCCCTGGGTATCGGGTCGGGGAGCATTCTACCTGTAAACCAAGAGCTACTGCAGTGGACCGCCGTTGCCCTCCGACTGGTGCCCAGGTTTGGTGCTGTGTGTCCAGGTGTGCATGTTGTGTGTGTTTAGAAGGGGATTTACATGAACTTTCAATGAAAACATACATGAACAGAAAGAAAAGTACAATCTGTTGTCTATTCTTTTTAAAATATACGTATGTATTTTATTGTTGATAGTACTACAGATGGTCCCCATTCCCCCCTTGCCCCCCTCCAGCCAGCCCTGCCTGTGTCCTTGGGCTAGGCGTATGTATTCTTTGGTTGATCTCTTCTCATATCCCCCCTCGCCCCTCGGAGATCCCTCGGTCTGTTTCATTCCTCTATGTCTCTGGACCTATTTTGTTCGTCAGTTTCTTTTGTTCATTGGATTCCACATGAGTGAGGTCACGTGGTACTTGTCTTTCTCTGCCTGGCTTATTTCACTCAGCATCATACTCCCCAGGTCCCTCCATGCTGCCCCAAAGGGTACGAGATCCTTCTTTTCACAGCTGCGTAGTGTCCATGGATAAATGTCCCCCAGCTTTTTATCCACTCATCTCCTGATGGGCACCTGGGCTGTTTCCAGATCTTAGGTACTGTAAACTGTGCTGCTATGAACACAGGGCTGCATAAGTTCTTTCTGATTGGTGTTTCGGGTTTCTTAGGACATATTCCTAGGAGTGGGATCACTGGGTCAAAAGGCAGCTCCATTTTTAATCT